CCTCCGGCCCCCACCATCTCCTCCCCGCGATCCCGCACAGCTCATCTCACCGCATCGCGCATCCTCCTCCCTCGAGGGGAAAAGCGACAGAGCCGCACCCACGCCACACACGAGAGCCACCACTCGGCCAGCGAGCACACCACACGCACAGGAGCGACGAGAGAGGACCGGCATTGGCTCCAATCGAAGCTTCCCGATCCAGATCCGACCCCGCGGGCCCGTCCCCGGCCGCCCAGCCGGATCCCCGTCGGCGCTGCGGCGGCATCGGTTTGGCCAGTGCTCCGGTGACCCCTTGTGCGGGGCGGAAAGGGGTTCGCCGCGGGGCGGTCTGAGATGGAGGACCTGCTGGACGCCGAGATCGGCAAGAACGACTACGACTGGTGAGCGTCGCTCCCACGAATCCTTTTCTTATTCATTAATTTCCCGGGTTTCTGGGAGGCGAATCACCCGTCTGTGTGTCATCTTAAAAGCTGGAATTGAGTGATTAATGCAGCGTGCTTATGAAGGCTGTTGAACATTTTTTTTCTGCACTGCCTTCAGTCGGCTGTATTTTGGGTCGATTTGTACCTGACCCCCGTACTTTTTTGCCTCGGTAAGCTTGATTTTGGGGTGCCATGTGTGCTCTGTTCCGCAGAGAGGGTACCAAAAATACGTCAGATTTTCATTTGTGGGCTGTCTGCTTCACTAGTGGCTGCGGTGGATGTTGGATGTAATCCTTTTAAGGCCAAGTTTGGGATCTCATTATTTGGCTTCAGTACATACATACTCAATTTGTAGACCATAGAAAGAAACAAATAAACACTGTGGGTGGAGCGGAATGTATACCTAATAGACCTTTATTATCTGGATCCAGTTTATTCTCTATATGGGAAAGGAAAATTATAATGTTGGTGACATGAGACTAAGACGCGTGTGAGGTGACCAGGTCAATTTGGAGGCATTAGCATGACATTCTGCAAATGAAGAGAATATAATTTTAGTGCTTCTCCCACATAATCATATGTGCACATTTGTGAGCTTTAGTAGCGAAGAGTGATCATTGATTTGTTTTCTGTTATTGCAGTGTGCTATTCAGTAGTACCTCTGTTCACTACTGAAGGACGTTTTGGCAGTTCAATATAAACTACCAAAATGTCCTACATTAGTGAACAGAGGGTGTACTTGTTTGTTTCCTCTTGTTAATGCATGTCAGCATGTGTTTCTACTCTTATGTAACATGTTTTGTGATGCACTCCTCAGGCTTCTTACACCGCCTGGGACGCCCCGTGTTCCTGCTCTGGAGGTTGCTCAGAAAATACCATCCTCAAATATATTGCCTAAGCGCACCCTCACTAGATCTTCCTCAACTACAAGAGCATCAAGGGTACGTAGAATGTGCTATCTGTGTGGAAAATAATCATAATAAATATGCCACTGCTTGAAGATTTTCGTTTGTAAACTAGTCCAGGACATGTTTTTCTGCGCAAATGATTTCAGTAAATTCTAGGAACCATGCTCTGTACTATTGGAATTCGGTAATATGGTGATCGGCCTCACCTAATTTTTCTAAGTTGCATTGCACGTATTTAGAATCAGAGAACATGATTGAATGTATCTTCTGGAGACATGCATGTATGGTAAACAATTGTTATCTAGTCTAGACGCACTCTTTTGAATTGCCTGGTTTCTTGGAATGGATTATTTTCTCATCTAAATTCTGTCAACCATAATCATAGCTTTCTAATGGCAATAAGCATTGCATGTGCAGCTTTCGGTGTCTCAAACAGAGAATGGACATTCTGCAGTTCCCACTAGACCAGCAAGAAGTAACTCTGTAACCCGCCCTTCTATCCAATCAACTCTCATGTCAAGCAATAACAGGACATCAGTTCTCAGCGCAAGTATTTCATCTGTCAGTTCAAGACCTACAACCCCAAGTAGGCGAAGCAGCACCATTGCTGCGCCAAAACAATTGGTGCCAGCTTCACGTCCAGTTCCAGCAAGGTCATCTACTCCTGTTAAACCTCGTCCATCTACACCATCCAAAACTCGCCCGTCTACTCCTGTGAAAACTCATCAAGCAACATCTAACTCTGCAACTGACGCAGCTGCTGGCAGGACCACAGCCACCCAAAGTTCAAGGCCATCGACTCCAAATTCTCGGTCTCGAATTATGTTGAATTCCTCTTCAGGTTCTATTCCTGCAATGAGCCGCCCAAGTCCATCCGTAGGTATCATTCCTGCAACGAGCCGCCCAGGCGCTTCCTCAAGTAATGGTCATGGGACAAGCCATCCCACCTCATTGTCTTCTGGTACAGTTCCTTCAGTCAGTCGCTCCAGCTCACGATCATCTACACCTACACGTCAGCCTGCAGTGCGTTCATCGACCCCAGCTATGGGCCGTTCGCCTTCTTTTGGACGCACTTCTAGTAGCAATAGCTTGACGACATCTATGAACCGACCTGCAGCTAGTAGTGGCCGAAGTTCAGCACCGTCATCAGCTCCATCATCCCGTCCAAGTTCCCCAGGTCCACGACCCCGAGCTCCAGTGCGCTCACATGACATTCCTTCATCGGCTCCAGCATCTCGTCCAAGTTCCCCAGGTGCACGACCCCGAGCTCCAGTGCGGCCACATGATACCCCTTCATCAGCTCCTTCATCTCGTCCAAGCTCCCCAAGTCCACGACCCCGAGCTCCGGTGCGGCCACTTGATATCCCTGATTTCCCAAATGAAACACCACCAAACCTAAGGACAAAGCTACCTGAGCGACCACTATCTGCTGGTAGATCACGCCCTGGAATGGCTTCAGGAATAAGATCAAACCCACATGCTGAACAGTTAGCTGCCTCGGCTCCTGCAAAAAAGCTCTCCGTGCCTGCTGCAAGTCGTAATAAGTTTTCAGATCCACCATCAAAGGCGCCTTCTCGCTCCAATGGACACCAAAATAGGCAGTCTGAAAGGCCCGTTGTTGACAGTCAAGCTACTAGGACTGCACGGACTGGTGCAGTTGCAGGCGATAATGGATTCGGGAGGACAATTTCAAAGAATTCACTTGACATGGCAATCAAGCACATGGTATGTTTCTTATTGTATTCACATCATAATAAATAACATCCTGTGTCTTAGTTTATGTTGCATTACGGTTTTGTTACTGACTGAATTCCTTAAAAAAACATTCTTCACATCTTAGCATCTGTCAAGTTTTTTTTTTCCTTTTAGCATTTAAGTTACAGTGGTGAAGTAGTCATATCTGAGCCTCTTTATGCAACATTACAAGGCCAATATATTTTGATTTTCAAGGTGGAAAAGTCATCGCTGCAAGTGAATTAGTCATATGGTCCAGAATACGGACCGGAGTTGAAAAGTTGACTATTTCACATCTGAGTAGCAAAGTCATCTTTTAGTGATGTAAAATTGAAAATACACATAAGCATTGCTGGGAAACTGCATTAAGCATGTGGTGTGTACCAAAATCATGTAATACCAACATTCCAGATAAACCAGAGTTGGTAAACTGCATTTTGCATTTGAATATCCTGTCAGGTAAAGTGAAACTCAAAAAATGTTATTGACTGGCTCCTTGTTAGATCTATTTCAAGCCTTTGATTGTTTTATTCTGTTGAAGAAGCTAATCACACCAGTGTACTTCCTTTTGATAGGACATTCGGCAGAACTTGGGTGGCATCCGTGGCGCATCCCTGTTTCCCCACAGCATCCGCTCGAGCGCCGGCAAGGCCCGCCCGGTCCGAATGTCTGACCCCGGGCATCCCACCTCGAACGGTGACCACCGGCACTACGCCGACAACGGCAGCACCAACGGGCACTTCTTCTCGGGCGACTCGTACGGGGCCCTGTCGCGCAACGGAGGCAGCTCGACGGACTCGCCGGATCGGGGAAGCTTCGGGACCAAGGAGACGTCCCTGAGCGAGCTGGACATCTACGGGAGCTCGCGGTACGAGGCGATGCTGCTGCGCGGGGAGGACGTGAGGAACACGAGCTGGCTGCACGGCGGGTTCGACGACGACAAGCCCGACCAGAGCCCCCTGTTCGACCACCGGTTCGAGCCGCTCCCGGAGCCCTTCAGCCCCTTCTGACGCCGACGGCCGCCTCCCTGCCTCTGTATGTAAAGTCTGTCCCCGGTGATCACCTGATTCCCCACGTTCCTTCGTGTTGTGTTGCAAGATGTGTAGTATGTATGCCCTTGTTGGGCCGAAATGGATAGGGCTCCGGGTTTGTGTAACTCAATTTGTTGTTGCCTAGAGGCCGGAGAGTTGGTTTTTCTTCACAGAAGATTGTTGTTGTACTGAAAATCGAAAAAGTACAGATAGATACTTGATGAACAGTAAAGAGCATTTGTGAGTTGTTGTAATCATGTGTGACGACGACGACGTCGACGTTGGACCATCTCACGCAGCCGCTGCACTCCCAATCGACGCCTCTTGATCACACAAGTCGGAAGCGTAGTCTGGTTAACCAGAGCCGTAAACAATCCCATCCTGATGGTAGATGCTGCTGGTGGAGGAGAGAAGGATGGTTGGCGGTAGCAGCAGCAGCGGCGGCGGGTGGCACTGGCAGAGTGCTCATGCCGTGCGCAGAGCGCTATGCTGGCCGGATCCGGCCGCGGCAAGTGGCCCACGAGGAGCCTGTCTGCGCGGTCCCGCGAGACCGGACGGCCCCGGCACGGCAAGGCAACGGGTGGCGTGCATCCGCCGCGCCTCGCGCCCGCTGTCGCGTGGGCGCCGGGGCGCCCTGGACCGGACCGGGCTGCCGTGCAGCACCGGTTTCTGTGGCGAGTCGCAACGGGGACGAGTGAGACAAGGGTGGTCGCTCTCCGAAGGCAACCCACGCCCAACCGCTCTCGGTGTCAGTCAGGGAGCCTGACTGCTTCACGCACAATACTTGTGGTGTGTGTGTGTGTGTGTGTGTGTGTGTGACTTTTCACTTTCTTCCTCGGGTGCTTTGACCTTTTGATCTCCAGGCATCTACGGGCCAGAGGAACCGCGACCTGACCATGGGCCATGGTGTCTTTGCATGACCATGGGCCATGGTGTCTTTGCATCGATCGAGGTAACTAGAGATGTAAAGTACTCCTTCCGTCCCAAAATTCTTGTCTTAGTTAATGTCTGGTTGTAGAAAACTTGAAGCTGATCTTATTTAAAATACATCAACCGCGTGTGTTACCATGATTGTCTCTTCTCGACGGTGTCCGGGAAGTGAACACGGTGTTGGAGTAATGCTTAACGTAGGTTGTTTTAGGATCACTTCTTGATCATAGTTGATCGACCGTGTTTTTGCCTTCTCTTCTCGCTCTCATTTGCGTATGTTAGCCACCATATACGCTAGTCGCTTGCTGCAGCTCCACCTCATACCTTTTACCTTACCTATAAGCTTAAATAGTCTTGATCGCGAGGGTGTGAGATTGCTGAGTCCCCGTGACTCACAGATACTTCCAAAACCAGTTTGCAGGTGCCGATGATACCGTGCAGGTGACGCAACCAAGCTCAAGGAGGAGCTCGTTGAAGACCTTATCCTTTGTGTTGTTTCGTTCTAGTTGATCAGTAGTGGAGCCCAGTTGGGGTCGATCGGGGATCTGTGTAGCTTTTGGGGTAGTCTTCTTTTATTTTGGTTCCGTAGTCGGACCTTGATTGTATTTGGATGATGTAATGCTTTATTCATATAATTGTGTGAAGTGGCGATTGTAAGTCAACTATGTATCTCTTTCCCTTATGTATTACATGGGTACTGTGAAGATTACCTCACTTGCGACATTGCTTTCAATGCGGTTATGCCTCTAAGTCGTGCTTCGACACGTGGGAGATATAGCCGCATCGAGGGTGTTACAAGTTGGTAATCAGAGCCTTCCCCGACCTTAGGAGCCCCCTGCTTGATCGAATCGCTGGCGTTATTGAGTCTAGAAATGTTTTGAGTCTTTTAGGATTATATATATCGGAGAGTTAGAAATTCTTTTTACTCCTCAGTCCCTTCGTCGCTCTGGTGAGGCATCCTAACGTAGAGTTTTGACTCTTTTCTCCTCAAATTTCACTAAAAAAAATTTAGGATCACGCGGGTATCTTGGAATCGTTCTGATGGTTTTGTGATGAGAACATTGTTCTTCGTGCCTCCTGTCATTTAGGGGTTGTGGCAGTGTCCGGGAGTTGAGCTCCGAGGTGTTGTCGTCACAATTTTATCGTTGCAGTTCTGGAATACCTGAGTTTAGTTTCGCCGACATCGAAAATCTCTTCTATGCAGTTGTTGGTGAGATAACCTCGACGCCACCTAGTACTGGGGCGGGAGTTTGGGAGTATTGCCATAACTCGTATAACAGATGCTTTTCGAAGGTTGAGGTAGATGATTTCCGAAGGTTTCTTGGTTATGTGTTGAAGGATGGATACAGCTGGATGTAGGATTTGTTAGTTTTGGGTGAGATATTATGCTTTCCCTATATCCCCAACACCTGATTGCATAACCGAAAAATTTCGGGAGTTTATAAGTGGGAATTCAAGTAGCTCGTAGGATGTCTTTCTCACAAATGTATGATATGAAATTGGGGTTCGACGTCTAGTGGTCCGCCTATTCACGGTTGGTTTTACAGTGGTCTCATTGTGTCTTAAAGAGTCCTTGGCTATGCCGACTTGGGGACGCTTCGTATGTCATGTACACTGCCTTGTACATGATGGTGCTGTACGATCGAGCCCGTGTAGGCCCCACCACAAAAACTTCGGACGAAATCTCTATCATATATTTGTTCCGGCTTATTCCGCAAGTCAATCCTTTGTTTTTGTTTTTGAGTTGTGGTATTCGAGTTGCTTCGAAGTCAAATGTTGATTCCATCCCTTGTCTAAGCGGTGTTCCCATACTCCGATGTGAATACTAATCCTTCGTGATAATCGAGATTGTCATGTTAATCCTTTTCACCGTGTGTTTCTCTTCAAGTGGATCCGATCACTTCAACATTCGCAAGATCAATTATCAGTTCTTCTCAACGTTGTCTGTTTCATCCATCCTCAAGTTGTCTTTGTTTTTCCCGCCCTCCCACCCTTATTTCTTCAAGGACTCAGATTTCTTATTCAAGTATCCTTTTATTGATGGGAAGCCTCTCCTTTCTTTCCGTCAATGTTCTTATCCGGTGATTCGGAAGAAGATTCTAACGGAGCTTCTAGTTTATCATTCTTCGTTCTCTTTTCTTCTACGGTGGATCCAATTCAAGCTTTTGGTGTGATC